ATGAATTAGTTAAACTATAAAACCACTAGAAGAAAACATAGGGGGTAATCTCCCTAACTTTTGTCTGAACAGAGATTGCTTAGACAGGACTCCAAAAGTACAAAATAACAAAATCATACGTGGAATTGCATCAAACTAAAAAGCTCACACACAGCAAAGGAATCCTTTAGGAGAGCGAAGAGATCACCCACAGATTGCAACAAAATACTTTCAAACCACACACGAGGCTAATATCAAAATATACAAAGAATTTAAAAAGAAAACTAATCCAATTTAAATATAGGCAAGATGTCTCAGTAACATTTCTCCATAAAGGCAAAAAAATGTCTGAAAATACTGAAAAAATGATCACTATCACTCATCATTAGGTAAATGTATATATCAGACCTGTTAAGATGGCTACTACCAAAAAGAGAAAAAGAAAGAATGTACAGAAAAGGCAACCCTTGTACACTGCTGTTGGGAATATAAAACCACTGTGGTTAACAGTCATCCGTGTTTCAGCATATCCACAATGTATATGTTACCAACCTGGTAGGTACTCAGTAGCTGTCAGTTATGACTGGTGAGATCATATAGTACTTGTGTTCAAGTAACCCTTATTGTACTTATAATGGTCCCAAAGTACATGAGCAATCATATGACAATTTTATTATACTATTTTGTTATAAGTGTTCTATCTTATTACTGTTTTTAATGCCTAATATACAAATAAAATTTTATTGTAGAAATTTATACAAAGGAAACAATACAGTATGAACAGAGCCTGGAAGTATCTAGTTTCTTGTATCTTTGGGGACTTGGAATGTATGCCACACAAATAAGGAGCAACTACAGGATATCCAAATAAATTAAAATAAGTATGCTAAAATAACTAAGTTAAAGATGCAACCTAAGTATCTACTAATAGATGAACAGGTAAAGAAAATATAGTGTACATGTGCAATGGACTCTTTTCAGTCTTAAAAAAGAACAAAAACCTGGGCTGGGGATGGGGCTTCATGGTGGAACACTTGCCTAACATGTGAAAGGCCCAGCACTAAAAAAAAGAAAAAAAGGACAAAGCAAAAGATCCTGTCATTTGCCAAAACATGGATGAGAATAAAAGGACATTGCAGTGAATGAGGTAAGCCAGGCACAAAGACTACTGTGTGGTCTCATAAATATATGTGGAATCTAAAAAATATTAAAGTCATAAAGATACAGAATAAAATGGTGATCACTAGATTGAAAGGAGTGTGGATGGATAAAGATAGAGATTAGAGATTTTCAAAGGGTACAAACTTTTAGTAGATAAGAGGAATCAATTCTAGAGGTCTATTGCGTACCAAGGTAATTAAAATGTATTACATATTTCAAACTTGCTAAGAGTTAAATCTTTTCACCATAAAAAAGAAGAAGCAAGTATGGTAATTTTCTAATTTTAACTATGCCATAATCTAAACATATATAAAAATATCAATTGTATACTATAAATTTATTATAAAATAATTTAAAATCATTTAAATAAGTGTCATGGCTTATATCTAGATGTCTACCCAAAGCTTTGTGCGGTCATAGGTGGGGCTTTTTAGAGGTGGCTGAATCTATTGTGTGATGCTGGGATCAAGGATGTAACGCTAGGACTGATTCACAGTGTGATGCTAGGATTAAGGGTGTCTCAACCTGGGTAAGAGTGCTAACCACCTTAAGGATAGGTAGCCTGGAGAGGATATAAGGGACAGGAAGAGTGTTGTTACTTATTGCTTGCTGCCTTCTGCTGTGTGGCCCTCTGTCCACCATGAACTGCTTCTCATGTGATGCCCCTCCGCCATGCCATTCTACCTTGGTATGGACTGAAACCTCTATAAACATGAGCTATACTAAACCTATCCTCTCTTAATTTGGGATGTCAGGAATTTGTCTCAGCAACAAGAAAAGTAACTAAGACCATAAATAAATAATGAAATGATATAAAACAAACCAGAAATGGACTGAATAATGGTATCCAGGGTTCCATGGTACCAGACAGAGAATGCTGCTTCCCAATGAACATATTTTGAGCAAAAAATAAACATTTGCTGTTTTACAGCACCAAAATTTTAGTGTTATATCACAGTATAACAAACTTTATCCTAATTTTTACAGGCTTAGATTTAAGTTGTGCAAAAGAAAACCTAAAATATAAATCACTGCCTTAATAGTCAAGCAGCTGACAAGGAAACATTGAAAGCTAAAAGAATAGGAATCTACATAATTCAGTGACAATTATTGGAAATTAAAGCTTTGGGAACTGCATTGACCTAAACAGCAATGATTTATCTAATAAATTTCAATGCTAGGTAAAGATGTTGCAAAATAGGATGTTAATAGCATGTTAATTGCTGACTGTCAAGTTATATAAGATGAGCAGTGTACAGGCAAGAAATAGGGTGTCAGCAAGAATATAAAATGAAGAGGGCCCATAAATTCAAACTGTACTTCAATAACAACTTGGAAAACTATAGAATAATGTTCTTGGAATACACTGTATTCCCTCAACACTTTGCAGCCTTTTTAATGTATTCCAATATTGAATGTTTCATAGATAAATCTAATGCAGCCTTATTGTTTTTTCTCCATCCCACTCCCTTTCTTGTTTCTTGCCAGAGACCTAAAGAACTCATTATACGGCAAACTAAGTGACTTAATGAGGACCTAATACATGCTATTTGTTGTTCTATAGAAAATTTCCCATGGAATATGATGCATCCTTTTAAGTAATAGATGTTTTTCATTAGTTTTGTATCAGTAAGTACATTTTTTTCTATTTGCTGTATTCTGTTTCAGGAGTACATATTAATCTTTCCTTAAGCCACTTTCCCTCCCCCATATATACTGTCTTCTAATAGTTTTAATATCTTTATCTTTTCCCTCAGCATTCTCTGTGATTATTTTAAGCTTTTCCTCTATATATTATTTTATTTTCACTTTTTTACTCTTTACTCTTCTTCACATTTTTCAAAAATTATTCATTATTCATTTAAGGTGGGTTTATTTACTTTAGTTAATTACCTTAGTTTTCATCTCACTTTTATTTCACGGTCATCAAATATTTATTTACTATCTACTATATACCAGGCAAGACTCTAAGTATTAGAGATACAGGTGTGGACAAAACAGGCCAGACTCAGCTGTCATAGAACCTATTTCTCAATATATTACTTCAACATCTTGTTTTTAAATTCCTTTACCATATTCACATTCTTATTGTACCATACTTATACTAAGTTCTTTTATAACACAAACCACATAGAAATTTTCTTTTCTACCCCCTTAGGTTAGTTTTTATTGCAGTTCATATATTTATCTTTTATATTATTTCCCTTCCTTATATAATAGTAGTCTGAATGTTTCTTGATGACTTTTGTCTCCTCCTATTTATGTGAAATTCTGTCCAGTCTATTTTGTTTAGTCAGCTGTTACTCCAATATTATTCTACTTTCCAAATCAAAGTGGCTTCAGGCAAAAATATTTTTCTTGCTTGTAAAACTGGCGACAGTCTGTTGTTTGGCTGTTCCCATTTTGGAGACCTGAATTTATGTATACTGAGGTCCTGGCGTGGCTGGTATGGTAGATTCGTTATGGTAGATTCTACCTTCTTGACTCAAGCAAATCCACTGATTGAATCCAGACTGCAATTACTGATGAGACTTCTTAGAACTTTCTTAATTCAACTTCATTTCAATGTATGACTTCTGGAGAATTCTGACTGGGTCTACAATAGAGGTACATCTCTGCCAAGGCCAGAATTCCAGATGAACTGGTACCATAATTCACTGATATTGACTTGTATCACTACCTGCAAACGTGTCAAAGTTCTGCAAATTTTGGAAGCCCATTACTTTGGGACTTCAGTGTTAAAACATGAAGTGTCTGACGGCATGAACTTTTACTACTGACTTCATATTTACCAAAAAGGAAAAAAAAAAAGATAAAATCCAGCTACTGCAAAAAGCCTTAATTCAAAGCTGTTAATCACAAGAAATATAAATACCTTATTGAAAAACATCCAAATAAAAATATAGGAAATCCTCAAGAACATAAACAATCTATTGAAATATTAAACTTAGCAAGTGTCAGGGAATTGTAAGAACAACTGTGTATTATTTGTCTTGGTGAAGGAATAAGGTGTTTCAATCAATCAAGTATTACGGCTCCTGTTACCACACATAAATAGCACATATTATGCATATATAATGTAATGTTTTATCAAGTGGAGAAAGCTTCTTAGAGTTTTGTAGTTTCCCAGAATTTAAGGAGAGGGGATATTAATATCATTAAAGTAATGCTTTAATTCTTAAGTGAAATCTGAACTAATTTGTTCAATGAAAATTTATGCTTTTTAACGTTTCACAATTTTAAGTTGATAATTTTAAGATATGCCTACTCTTCAAGCTGTTTTTTCCCTATTCTAAATATTGCATGCACATTAAATGCTTAGTTTTAATCCAATCTCCTCCTTCAGATTTATATTCACTTGGCCAGATCCTTGTCCACTGAGTCCTACTGCACTTAGTGCACCTCCACACGATACTGCAGTCATAATTCTCTCCTGCATGTCTTCTATTAGATTGCATCCTCTCGGGGCCTAAACGTTAATGTTGCGCACACATCGAGTCCCGCAAACAAGCAGGTCCCTGAATTGAGCTTTGCCGTTTGTGTCCAAGTGTGCCTAGATTCGGGTGTGCCCTCCTGTGTCTATCTTGTCTGGGTTTCTTTGAAACCCACATTGGGCAATCCACATTGCCGGTTTTCTGTGGAAACAAAGGAGCCGGGCGTGGCGACTCGCGTCAGTAATCCCAGCATTCGGGAGGCTGAAGCAGGGCTCCGTCGCGACCCTGAAGTAGCGACCACAGGAATCTGAGTAAGAAACGTGACCCACCGCCCGAGGTAAGACTACAAGAACACTCCCTCGCTGCCCACGAACAGTTTAAAGACACGGATTTAAAAGACCTCGGCAAAGTCCAGTTACCAGTTACCCTGCCATCTGGAACTGCCGCAGCTCTAAGATGTTGACAAAGCAGCAAGGGTCCGGGGACGGAAGACTCGGTCGCTATAGTAACGGCCAAAAGCAACAGCACTTGCGCCGCGGCGCACAGGAAAAGGTTTAACGTCGGCAGCAATTTGCGGCAGCGCAGTGACTTACGGCCACCCCGTCGTAGAGCGAAGCCGCGTGCGAGTGAAAGGGCGGGTGCGGAGGCGCCCGGGTGTAAGGGGCCCCTGGCGGTATGACCCAGTCGGTGGTGGTGCAGGGTGAGCGCCGGGGCCGGGGACCCGCGTGCCGTCAGCCCCGCGGTCCGATTTCTACCTAACGTTCATTCTCTCTTAACCCCCGGTCGCAGTCGGTCAGTGCGGAAACCAGATCGGCTGCTGCTTCTGGGACCTAGCGCTGCGGGAGCACGCCACGGTGAACCAGGTACGCGCCCGCACGGGGCTCCGCCCCGCCTCCGGGTAGGACAGCTGGGCTCTGACTTCCCGGGCTTGGCTTGGCTGAGCAGCAAGACTTCTGCGAAGGACCCAGCGGGCTAGCTTCGTGTGCGACTGCAAAGCACTGGCCACAGACTTAGTGTTTTTCTGGATTCTGAGGTTTTTATTGGTGTTCTGGAGAAAAGCAGATGGTATATGTCAAAGCTCCTTGTGAGATAGATAACACGTGTAGTTATTATCCTTAATTTAACCAGTCAGCTTTTACAATCACCAGGAATTCAGAGAAAACTCATTTGATACACCTTTTCTACAGTCCTATGGGAACTCTTTTCTTCTTCACTCCCTGCAGAACTTAATCTGTAGATCTCCTGTCTTTTACCCTGTTCTACAGAGATAGATATTGGAGAATCAGCCTAAGCATTTTTGTGTTATGTGCTTTTTCTTACAGTCGCACGTTAACCATTACATTACAGTAATGTGGAATTAATAAAAGGACTTTAATTGGAAAAGAATTAAAATGTAAATACAATCAACATTTGTCTTTTTTTTTTTTAAGAAAGGAATTTATGATGAGGCGATCAGCAGCTTCTTTAGGAATGTAGATACCAGGTAAGATGGGGCTGAAGTCTGGCACAGCACAATAATACTTTATTTTCATGTCAGCAAATTGGGAGACAAGTATTTAATGGACAATAAAAGTAGTTGATAGCTGTGAAGTTGTGTAGCATTTTTGTTTTCCTTATTGATAACATTCTGATATCAGGAATGTTTTCATATTCTGTAGAACAGAACCATAGGTTTCTTTTTCAGATCATATTAAGGAACATAAAAACTTCATAACCTTGAAATAAACTTACTAAAGAGAAGCTCAATTTTTCTCCAAAGATGTTAATGCACCAGTAATGACTAATTTTTGAAAAAATTACTGAATTTCTCTGGTAATGTGATCAAGAATACTTCCTGTAAGTACAGAATGTTCCAGGAAAAAAGAAATGTGTGTACTGTATACAACAAAGATTACTTTTGTGCAATAAATGATACACTTTATCTTAGATCTTTCACCTGAAAGAATCATTTGACATTTAAGGTATGTCCAAAACCTTTTAATGTTCAGTCTTTTAAGTTTATATGCTTTCAGAGTGCTTCTTAGAACCAAGTATGGCTGACTTGCACTGAAGATGGCGCCCACTGCCAAGCTTTAATGCAGAAGAAACTCTAATGGTGTTTCGAATTGGCTGACTGGGTATATGAGCTGTTATTTTCTAGGGAATACTGCTTGGTCTTCATTGGTTACAGCCTAGTGCTCAAGGTTGGAAACTCAAAAGTCTGGCTGTTTGCACCTTGAGAATGCAGGGCAGTCAGATTAACCAAACTCAAAGAAATTGGAGATTTAATGAGGAAAGTCATCGTAAGAATTATAACTCAAAAGTACTCCATCCTCATTTTACATTATAGGCACATTTTCTTTTTGTATGAAATCTAACAAAGCTACATAATAATTGATGGTTGCTTAGTAACAATGGAATAACCTTGAGGGGAATTAGGTATATTAATACGACTCTCTTTATGAGATAGAGGTAGTTGTCATATAGCGCAGTTCCCTATTATTTTTGGATTGAAACATCTTCCCTAAATTCCTATGGTTGACACAAATTAGCCTGTATAATAGCTTTTTCAGGTGCTTCTGCTAAGTTCCTACTCTCACATCTTTTTTTTTTTTTTTTTTTTTTTTTTTTTTTTTTTTTTTTTTTTTTTTGAGGCAGGTTTTTACTATGTAGTTCAGGCTGATCTTGAACTCACAATAACCCTCCTGCCTCAGCCTCCCAAGTGCTGGGACTATGGGCATGTGCCACCATGCCTGGCTTGCATGCCTTCCTTTCTCAATAAGCAACTCTTTCATTGAGTGTTACATAATTGAGACTCAGCCTGAGAGTTTTTCATTTTCACATGCTCAACTATTTTGTGTAAACTGCATAAAAGAAAGATTACTTTATTTAAAAAAGGATATATGTCAGTATCTTACATCTTTTATCTGGAAGACTAATTTAACATTCAGGATATGTCCATAAACTTGTAATGTGTTGTAGGCTTTAACCTGAGAATGTTCTCAGCTTCCTGATACCAGGTTGGGAAAGGAGGGGAGAAGAGGTATGGCATTTTGCTCTTTCTTTGCACTGTCAGCACTGGCCTTTGTTCAAGAAGACCACATCTTTATGTGGTTCCTTATCAAATTATACCTTTTCAATAGCATAATAAACATTTACCCATAACAGGATTTAGCCAACCTTTTTCCATAAAGGACTGTAGAGTAAATATTTTAAGTTTGCAAACTACAAGGTCTATGTCATAGCTACTCAACTTTTTATAGCGTGAATGAAGACATCTCAGTTACTTTCCTCATTGCCGAGACAAAATACCCAACACCCAGAGAGTTAAAGGAGGAAAGGTTTTTTGTCTCACGGTTTGTAGAGGTTTCAGTCTGTAATCAGCTGGCTCCAAGACAGATTGGCGTGGCAGATGGGCATTGCAGAGGAAAAGCAGTCCATGGCAGGCTTCAGAAGGTAGCAGAAGCAGCAAGCAACAATGGGTGACCATGGCAGCCCTCTCTCTCTGCCTTCTATCTTATCCAGGACTAGCCCTGGGAGATTATGATTTTTTTCTCTCTTTTATCTTTCAGGGTAGTTGGTGATGGTAGCAGTATTTCCAAGGGGATAATTCGTTCTTTAAAAGCACGAGTAAGATATATATGCTTGGATACTTACATGTCTGTATAATTTTAGTATGACTTCTAAAGTAAAAAAATTTACTAAGCAGTGTGCAGTACAAGTAAAAGTAAGCAGATATTTGTGCCCCCCGAAATCATAGGAAAATTTCATACTTAGTGTAGAAACATTATAAATTTAGCATTTTCTCAGTGTTGAGGGGAAATAGATGTCTAGATAAATTATAACGAAAGGTGCCTTCTTAACAACAATGACTTGAAATACATACTGATTCATGTTAGTTTTCCATTTAAAGATATTGGAAAATTAATTTTCATCAAGGTTACTACCACTACACAACAGATCAGCTATTTTATAATAAAAAACAAAAAACCATGTAGTTTTTCCTGAACAAGATTTTTCAAGTCAGTAGCCATATTTGTAGTCTTAGTGTCATTCCAGCATTTCTCTTTTGTGAGTATTTCTCTGTAAAAACTTTTTCTGATTGTTCATTAGTATCTTTGACTATAACAATGTCAGTTGAAATGCTATGCGAAGGATTGAGATGCTGAGGATCAGACCTTGTATTGGTCCTGAAAACATGGACAGTAATAGCATTGTGGCACCTGAGAACCACTCCTATTTCTGTGTTCCCTGATGTCCTTAGAAAATAAAGCTTAAGGCAGAGATCATATGCTTGTAAGCTGCTAAGCTAATCATTTAGCATTTTGTATACTTCGTAACATGGAAAAAGCTAGCATCCCAGTCCAAACCTTAAGAGAGAAAAAGATACTTTGACATTTCCTGGACTTTTCCCAATTTGAGTCTTTCCTGCCAAAAGAGTGGAAGGTAGAAGAAACATTTCTGGTAAGGAATAAGTCAGCACATTTCTGTAGCCTTTGACTTTTGTCCGTGAAAGTACTCTGGCTTTCTCCTAAGAACTCTTGGTTTTAATGGGGCTGTGATCACTAAGATCCTAGACTTCCCAAGATAACTCAGTGCTTGCATACCTTCCTTGTGTCCATCATCTTTGTTAATAGGCAAAATACTTAGAATTGTAAATCCTATGTTACAATTAGAAGAAAGCTAGAAACTATTACCATGTGGCTTTGGAAGGAAATGTAAACATTAACTTCTAGAACAGTTGTAACTCTAGACTTTAGATGCTTAAGTGAACTCAGAGAAATTTAGTTAATGCCCAGTGGAAAACCAAATCAAGGACTTGACATGACTAAAGGAAGATTAAAAGAGTTACATGTTTTGTAAGGATTTCATGCTAAATGACTAGGACAGTGATGATAGTACCACCGCTCACACAGGGAGAGCCTATGTGTCAGTATTGTGTTCTGGGCATTACCACTGCTAGACAGTATGGTAATCAATAGTCCTCCACAGAGCATCCCAAATTTGTTTTGGAACACACCTAAGCTTTTTGCTTTTATAATCTTACACAGCTTTTTTGCTGCTACCACAGTTCTCTTGTGGTTGGTCAGATGTTAAAGTCAGCATTTAAAATAAAATTGTATATTGTCAGAAATAGCTTTTTTGAAATCGTTGCAATTTCCAGTAGATGTCCTTATATAGTCTGTGGTTCTAAAGTGTATTCATTTATGTATAAAATGATTGCTGTATATCAGGAGCACGGATAGAAGACATAGTTTTAGAGCCTTTGTATACACTGCTGTAATATTGTAATTGTATATCTTCCAGTAAGTAACATAAAAACAAATTCACAATATTTAAATATATATGATTTTTTTCTTGTTTGTTAAATCAAGCTTTACTGATAAAATGGAATTCAGAATATCTTACTAGAAATAACAGGTCCAGCCAATCATGATAGCAAAAATGTGGCAGTCTCCTACTTTACATAGGAAGCTGCTACTTATCAATTAGTATTTAAAGGTAAAGACTTGTAAAAGAGTTGCCAAGAATCAAGGCATTTTAGCCCCAAGATTGCTCTTCATATGATATACTATATTACCTGCAGTACTTGTGGCAACATGGAGACAACACCCCTAAAAACAGCGAAGTGCTTTACCAACCATGCCAGTCTTCTGCCTAAATATATATAAATTTACTGCTATATATATAAATTTAAATTATTATGTATAATTATTATAATTATATATAAATTTTAGTTATTAATCTGTAAATCAAACTTGACTTCCCCCTTCGATTAGACAGTAGAGCATTTTGGTGGTTAGGAGTAAAGGCTCATGTCCAGGCTGTATGAGTGTGAATCTCTACTAGCTGGGTGATCATAGCCCCATTGTTTAGTTTTCTAAACCCCAGTTCCCTCATGTGTATAATGAGGGTGGGAATACCTAGGCATAGGGTTATGTGGATTAATTGGATTACTATCTATAAAGCATTTACAATGGTGGCATATAGAAACTGCTTAACGTTAGTTACATAGTCGCAAGAACTAGAAGAGCCCATAAACCAAGCAGTTATCTGTAATGCGGAATCAGAGTTATATAATTTGCCCTAAGGTTACTTCAGAAATGTTTTTGTTTCACCTTTTTACTTAAATCTTCTATATTATACTTTTTATTCTCCTTCACTTTTTGTTTTTGTTTTGTTTTTTGCCATTGGAGGGTTTTTTTTATTCTTGTTTTGTTACCAGTGCTGAGGATTGAACCAAGGGCCTTGTCTGCCACCTCCAGCCCTCATTGTAGAACATACAGAAAGTAAAGCAAATAGAACGAACATATAATCCTACTGACTGCTTACATTTTCTATATATCCTTCCAGTATTTTTTCTTCTTATACTTAGTTTTATAAAATATGGTAAAAAACTGAGTGCTTTTTTATTTCTTATAGTAAAAGACACACTGAGTTAAAATTAAACCCCCTCAAAATACTCTCCGTATCAAGCACTTGTGTTCTGTCCCTCTTACCATCTTCTGAAATAGTTTTGGAAGTCTGTTATTCTTCAGTTTTGCTGTCATGGCTGCCTCAGTATCTTGAATCAGTTCAAAATATTTGCTTTTGTGGTCATTTTGACCTAGGAGCCAGACATTGCCCAGTGCCATATCTGGTGAATAAAGTAGATGAGAACATACTGTAATACTTAAAAGCTTACATTTCTGTAGAGTGGCAGTCAGCAGCCATATTCACCATCTTTTTGATCATACATTGTAAAAACAGTCATGAAGAACATGTAGAACTGCCTAAGAAAGTGGCAGGCATAATTGGATAACTGACACAAGGGAGAGTATTTTGAGAGGGATTAATGGCAGTGTGTTTTTACTGTTGCAAATTTTTAAAAATATAAACATTCATTTACACCTCATGTGTTTTTATTTTCTACATTGTAGTGTAGACATCTATTCTGTGCCTTTGTTTATTCATTTCAGTTACACAGTTTTGGGCTGTGCTTCATAAAGAACACTGGGATTCTTCCTAATGACCATCTGAATTAATGATGCATCTTGCATTTATTGAGAACTTTCTTCTGATTGATGTTACCTTGTTAGAAATTCAGTTGAAGGGGTTGTTGGGTCTCTTTTTTACCACCTAGCAGTTTGGAGTAGGATAAAAAGTTTAGAATCCATCTTTTAATTGGATTCTACCTTTTGAGCAGAGGGAAATTGCTTTTGAATTCTTACAGTAGATCTACATCAAGAAAGATTTTGATTGAGCTTAAAGTATAAAAAGAACAATGCATTTCATAGTTTGTAATTTTTTTTTCATTTTAAAGAATTTGAGGGAAAATATGCATTACATTTTCTCTTTCAGGCTGTCTTGGTTGACATGGAAGAAGGGGTAGTAAATGAAATTCTCCAGGGACCTCTCAGAGATGTATTTGATAGCAAGCAGCTCATCACTGATATTTCTGGCTCAGGAAATAATTGGTGAGAATGTGCTGAACATAAACATTGAATATCACCTGTAAAAATCAAGCATTCTTTCCTTTATTCTAATAAATCATACTGATAGAAATATAAGATGCAGTTTGCTGCACATTAAGCTAGGCTGCTTAGTCCTGTCTTAATTGTCTCAATAAATGGTGTTTCTACAATGCTTGGAAACTACTTGTCTTTACTTTTTCTCCTACTTCTAATTTTCTTAAAAGAATGAATCTTGAAAATTTGATTTATTGAAGTGTGTGTGTGTGTCTGTGTGTGTGTGTGTACATTTATTATATAACACTAGTTACAAAGCGTTAAGCACTAAAGTGCTTTTGTAAACTGTTTATTTACCTATATTATTCGATTGAAATTCTCCAATTGGTCAGATTTAATAGAGTTTATACAAAGATGAAATCCAGACCAGTGCTAGTGTCCAAGACTGTTTGGGCCCTTACATATGTAATAGTCTCTTCTTTTTAAGTGATGCAAGAGTACTCATAAAAATTCATATTGAGACTATTTTTTGATTTTTTTGAAAACTTGAGCTCTTTGTCATTTCTAAATCTCATATTTATTATTGTAACTATTTACTACGAGTCCCTCAGGTTGGTAATATGGAATGATGTACAATTTTATTGAAGCACAAATTTGAATGTTATATTATGGAAAACTCATTTAAGGAAAACCAGTCATTTAATAAGTGAGCGTATCTGACCACCCAACAGGCTTTTCTCTAACTGTCATGTAATTTACTGTGTAACTTCTGAGTTATACAAGACTGCATATAATGGAAAACCACTTTGATTCTGTAATTCATCGTTAGCGACACTGCAAATTGAGCCACCAAAAATATTTGCAGAGCCCCATAAATATCAGTTTTCTGCCACTAGCCATTTCATCTAACGTGTCCAGTTTTGTTCTTTTCAATCAAAATAGGCTAATTTAAAAATTTCATCTTCAATATCTTAGTAGTTGATTTCAATCTGGTTTTGCAATTCAGGGGTTTAAAAAAATTTTTTATTAATACATGATTGTAGTACATAATGATTACATCTATCATGGGAGCTTGTACATGTACATAACACATAATTCTTTTTTTGTCTCCTTCCCCTCCATAGTTCTCCCTCTTCCTTACAACTTTTATTCTCCCCATTTCCATTTTTTGTCAATTCTCATAAATCCCTTTTCCCTTCCTTCCATCCCCCTCTCCCATCTGTTGATCTTCCCTCTTCCTATCCTCTATTTTGTTCCTTATATATATTTGCAGTTTTCCATGAAAGAGAAGCCATGCTATATTTAAACTTGTGTCTGATTTATTTCAAGGTGCGTCCATTTACCTAAAAATGCCTCAGATTTATCCTTTAAATTTGCAGAGTAGTGCAGTAGCAGGGTAGTACTCCATTGGGTCTAAATACCACATCTTATTTATCCATGCATCTGTTGAGGGGCTTATAAACTGTTTTCAAGATTAGCTATTTTGAACTATGTTGCTGTAATCATGACTATGCATGTGTCAGTGTAACACAATGTCTTTAACTCTTTCAGGAAGATCTCTAGATGGGGAATAACTGGGTCAAGTGGAATTTCTAATTTTAGTGCTTTGCAGGATCTGCATACTGATCTCCATAGTGCTTGTACTAGTTTACAATGCTAACAAAAATGTAGAAGACTTCTTTTTCCCAAAGCCTCACCAGCATTTGTTATTGTTTGATTTCTTGATGGTAGCCATTCTTTCTGGAGTAAGATGGTATCTCAGAGTTGTTTTGCATTTCTACATTAGCCAACAATATTGAACATTTTTCATGTATTAGCCATCTGTACTTCTGAGAAGTATCTGTTCATTTTGACTGCCCATTTCTTTTTTGTTAGATTTGTCTTTGTTACTTTTCTCATTGCTGAGACAAAATACCTAACACCCCAAAATAAAGGAGGAAAGGTTTATTTTGGCTTACAGTTTGTAGAAGGTTCAGTCCATAGTTGGCTGTGTACAAGGAAAGGTGGCAAGGGAGAGGGGCATTGCAGGGAAGAAACAGTTCTTGCCTGGCAAAAGGTACCAACGCAGCAGCCTGCCTCTCCCTTTTGTCCCTTCCATGCTACCCATGTGCAGATGTTGCCACCCATATCCAGGGTGGGGCACCCTTAAACCCAACCTCACATACCCTAGATCCAGCCACCTCCAAAAAACCCTAACTATTATTATGTGAGGCTTTTGGGGCCATCTATGAGCAAGCCATAACTGGGTCTTTTATTTGGGGATCTAACTT